GTTGTTAGTTGATCCATGAAGAATGAAGTCCTAGACAACTTCAATCTTTTCTCCGTTGATAAGAATGTTGTTTATTGGTCCAGTGGTGAGGATTTTTTTTTTTTTATATTAAAATTTAAAGTGACAGTATCAACATAAAACCAAATGGCCACCATTCGTCTATCTGTAGTGCTGTGGTAGATTGAGTTGTTGTGATTCTGAGGGCTATGCCACTGGTATTTTAAATAACCAGCAGGGTCACACTAGGTGGATAGGTTTCAGCTGAGCTTCCAGACAAAGACAGACTAGGAAGAAAGAGTGACGAACTACTTCTGAATCGCTAGTCACTGAAAACTCTATAAATAACAGAGAAACACTGTCATGCTCACTGTAGTCTGAACTAAGCCTAGGAACTTGATTGTTCCCACAGCCCAAAGCGTATGAGATTTGGAGCTGGTGGGAGGACACTTTCCCAGTTCAGGCCAAGTGAGCACCTTAGAACTTGGAAAGGAACATCAGATCCGGGTCTTCTCAGCACCACGCACTCTGCACAGAATAAGTTTCATGGAAGGAAAATAAGATTCAATTGAGGGCTTTTGGTGGAGAGGGAACCTCCCAAGTCTTATGTAGTCAATCAAGACTACAAGGATGCATAAGGTTTTCAGTGGCTGACCTCTTCCTAGCCTGTTTTAGTTTGGAAATTCTGCTGAAAACTTGTCCACCAAGGGTGACCCTGTTGGTATTTAAAATACTGGTGGCATAGCTTCCAGCATCACAGCAACATGCAAGTTATCACAGGATGACATACTGACAGATGACATGGGGTAGAAGAAGGTCTCAAAAGTACTTGGAAATTTTACCTTCTGTTGAGCTCCCCTTGAGAATGTTTTTGGGGACTAATGGGGGTGGGAGAGGGGCAGTGGAGAAGGGAGTATTTTGTTGAACGTGACCTCAAGTTCTGATGGGGTAACAGTTGTCCTCTTGAACAATGAAATAAAACCAACATGAACCTTATTTTCTACTGCTTTTTCTCAGCAACATTGAAAATTTTCTGTTGAAATATAGAAAGTAGGGTGCAGTGGGAGAAGACAGTGCAAACAAATTCCCTGCTCCGTTAGGATACAGAAGAAGAGAATGCTAAATCACACTGAATTAGAACTGAGGAACATACCGCTTCTTTACAGAGCTTTGTGTCTTCTGGGGCGGAAGCCGCTTTCTCCATCACCTGAAGGGCTCTGTCAAGGTATCCAGGTTTCCACATGAGAGGCATGTTGTGGTACACGGCCCGAAGCCCTTGGCGCAATTCCACCTTCCCTGTGGCCAAAAGCAACAATGAAGAATGCTTAGCCAGACCATCCTACACGGCTTGAGACTGAGGACTTGAAAGCACAGGTGAAAGAGTCAGGCAACTCTAGAAACAGAGAAGGATCATTTCAAACCTTTACCAAGAGTCTATCCCCTCCAGGGACCTGGTGAAATTTCAGACGAACAATGAAGGATGTGGTAAAATTAACTGTTGTTGTTATTAAGTGTCCTAAGTTGGTTCTGACTCATAGTGACCCTGTATAGGGTTTCTGAGAAATAGCTGGTGAGCTTGAACCGCTGACCTTGAGGTTCAAACCTACTTTGCAGCTCAGTGCATTAACCTACAGTGCCACACCAGAATTCCCAAATTAATTGTAATACTTAATTAAAAGATGTGCATGTTTCTTCTTTCTCATTTGAGCTGATGGAGACTACCACTAAGGATGTGTGAACCAAGGGACTAAGGGAAATTTAGAGAAGTTGATAGATCTGCCTCTAAGTAGGAATACCCTTAAAAAAAGAGTAACAACCGAAAGATGATTTTTGTTTCAAGAATAAAATCTTCCCCAGGAAAATAAACTCCACAACTTTTCTCCAATGAAAATCTTGTCAGCACAAACAACTTCCCCTGCCAGGAAATGTTTAACGATTTTGAAAGGCTCTCAACCACCCGACTGACTGTCCTTATGGGGGGGATTCTTCTCCCTCTTTTTTCCTTTATTTGGGCTTCATCAGTTCCTCAGTAGTAACGTGCTTATCGTCCTTTGGGACTTCAGGACGTGAGTGCTTCTCTCAGCACCTCATACGATCACAGCTGGCATTCAGGGTGCAGACGTCTGGCAGCAGGGTGCTGGTGGGAAGAGGGCAGAAACTCACTCTGCATCAGTAACCAAGTAGGTCACCTTTAGCTGCCAGGTTTCAAATCTACCTTGACTTATCTTTCCTGGGAAGGAGGATTTGACAAAGCTACAAAAGCAAATGAACACTTTACAAAGCTTGTCATGTGACAGCTAATTGTAGATTTTTCAGGTGCTTGGGGCTGGACAGCAGTCTCATCCCGGGAGCTGAGTGGGAGCAGAGAGCTTGTGTCCTTGTGGCTGCCTGGATAGGAACGGAGGATCTACAACAATGTACAGTTTCCTGAACACTCCACGCAGCATAAGAGTCCTGACGGGTAATCAGAAGGCCAAGCAAAAATGATGCAAATCAGAATCAACAGTACAAGGTAAGTAGGGGAAGTGATTTTTAAATACTATGCAATGTTGAAGAAGAATGATGAATTTGCAGACACCTCACAACATGGATAAACCTGGTGGACATTATGCTGAGTGAAATTAGTCAATCACAAATGGGCAAATAGGATATGAGACCAATGTTCTAAAAAGTTAAGGTTTTCTGGATAAAAGAAACATTCTATGGTGGTTACCGGCGTTCGGGGTGATTATTTACGGTTCAGAGGGTAGACACATGTTAACATGGGCAGGCAACATTCAACAAGAGGAAGGCTGGCAGAGGACCGATGAAGGTAGTGAGAGACACAGGGAGGAACGCAAGAGTTGAAGTGAACAGAGGTCAATGCTGTTAACTGATGGGATTGTAATAGCTGTACTGAAGGAAAGCATATGATTTTTGCTGATCGTAAAACTGACGGTTTGGTTCTGTAAACCCTACTCAATTCACAATAAAAGATTAAAAAAACAAAACAAAACAAAACCCTGAAAAACAAACAAAAGTGGTCAATTATTAGCTAGCCTGATAAACTGATAAAAAGTCCCCTTTCCGAGACAGTTTCCATCAACGTCAGTATCCAAGAATATGCCACGCTGCATTTTGTTGGCAAAGATCAACCGCAAAATCAGTCAGCCTGCTATAACTTGGATGATTTTCAGAAAACAAAAGTAAACAGCTCTTGAGACTTGGTCAAGAGCAGGTGCTTCCTCAAATAGAAGAAAGGCAGCACAATATAAAAACATGCCTTTAATAAACCTTACAGAACTGTGAGGCCATCCAGGTCGGTTTTTATGGCTAACAATAAAGGCTATATTGGAATTGCACTAGTAAACTTGAATCAAATTACAATTTTGCCATGATGTAGAAGAATGCATCAATTCTGGTGATGACAGAAAGTACTGGCAAGGAAGGATCACAGAGCTTACTTACCAAGAAGGGCATAGCCATACAACTGGGAACTCACACCCACTGAGTTCTCTTGTTTTAGGCCTGGGAGTAACAGGGATGCACCAATGTTCCTCTCCTCTTCCCACTGCACACACAAGGCACCAGATGATGGTCCATACGAGCAATGAATAGTTTATACAAAAAGGTGATTTTTAATGACACAGAGAAAAATAACACATTATAAAATGAAGTAAAAATATCCCAAGTTTGTAAATGAATGGCATGTATATTTAAAGAAAAACAGAAAGGAAATGTTTTATATGAGAACAGATTTCTGGGAGGTGAAATTTTAAGTAATTTAGGTTTGCTTCTTTGTAATTTTCAAAATTTCCTGCAATGAGTAAGTTCCTTTCATGATCAGAAAAGCAGAGCAGAATGAAAATAAAGAGTGCGTTCTAGACCAACACTGCCTTGAGACAGTCAACAGTGACTTAACATACCACTGTCCCCAGAGCCACTCACTCCCACTGCTATGACATGTTGGAGAATGCTTTAGAATTTTAAACAGTCCAATGATGGTAAGACACTCCATCCTGGTGTTAAAGTAAACACCATTATTAAGTTGCTTTTACAAAGATCTGTGCCTCTCAAAACCAAAATAGACAATCAGAAACACTTAGTGCCCTTCCTTTCTACACAGTATACAAAATTACTCTTCAATAAAATTGAAGCCCTTTGAGAATAGGGGAGTGGGGTGAATGGCAAAAACATCAGCATTGCTAAGCCTGTTGCTGACTAGCAACAGTAGTGGTCTGGGGACTCGCTGGATACTCAGGGCCTTAGCAACTTCCCAGATGACATCCTGTTGGTGCCGTCTGAGTACACTGTGGTCAGCACCAGAGCACTTGCACTGGCTTCCAAATGCAGGACATGAAGCACAGGCTGCCCTGCTCTGGGCTCTGCACACAGAGGTCAGGGATGAAGCTGAGAATGAATGAGGCCTGCAGGCTCCAACTGAAGCCAGGTGGAAGGGAGGCACCCCAGGTGTTAATAGACACCTCAACCACTTTACTGGGAATGGCTTTTGTGTAAATACAAGAGTAATTTCTTCAGGTTTTTCTAAACCTTTGAAAAAAGCCAAGACCTTGGGAGAAAAACAAAACCTCCCCAGGCACTTCGGCACCACAGATAGCAAAAGAGCTATAATTAAGGACCAGGTCATTCCGCTTTCAAAAGCAAAGCAATCTAATCCAGGGAAGTCTGATTTCCCCCACAGAATCAGCATGAAAAGTGGGCCCAGGGAATAGTAAATAGGGAGCCTTAAAACCTTTTTATTTTCCTTACAAGGTAGGGGGAAACCAGGCCTCCAGGATCAAGATGCAAGAGTGCTAGGGACCGAGTGGGGATGGTGATGGTGAGCAGGATGGTGAGACTTCCAAGATGGTTTTTAAAGATGAATGAAAAGGAGCCAACAACAAATACATGAAGGTCTTAAGTATCTTTTTGATGATTACCTGAGAATATTCGCCACCACTGCTACTTACATGCTAAACTCTTTCCATGTTAATGTAAAATATAGCTAGATCTCTTCCCAAGCCCTAACCTGTTCTACACAGTTGTAGTTAAGTGCCATCTACTCGGTTCTGACTCATAGCGAACCTGTAGAACAGGGTTTCCGAGGAGTGATTGGTGGGGATCCACTACTCTCAGTTGTTGTTGTTGTTGTTAAGTGCCGTCGAGTCGGTTTCGACCCATAGCGACCCTGAATAGGGTTTCCGAGGCTGTAAATCTTTACGGGAGCAGATTGCCTCATCTTTCTCCCGTGGAGCAGCTGGTAGTTTCGAACTGCTGACCTTCCGGTTCGCAGCCCGATTCGTAACCACTACGCTACCAGAGCTCCTTACTACTCTCAGTAGGATGGACTAAATTAGGTGCTACTCCATCGAGGCTGTCCAGGCTTTCCCATAGCAAACCCTCATTGTCAAACTCACCCTCCCCCCACTTCCCTTTACAGCTAAAGCTATTTGTACTCTAACACACTGTGTCTGTAACTCATTGCATAATCTATTCCAATGGCTTTCTATGGAAATCTGCCATCACTAGGTGGAAACAAAGGTTATAAATTAATGCCTTTAAATTAAATGAATGCCTTCGAACCATGGTGTTGGTGAAGAATACTGAATATCTCATGGACTGCCCAAAGAACAAACACACTTGTCTTGGAAGAAGTACAGCCAGGATATGCCTTAGAAATGAGGATGGTGAGACTTTGTCTCATATCCGTTGGACATGTTATTAGGGGGATGAGTCCTTTCAGAGGGATATGCAAGGCAGAGGGTCAGAGAAAAGTAGCCCCTCAACAATCTGGAGTGACACAGTGGCTGCAACACAGGGGAAGGTGGCACAGGACTGGCCAGTGTTTCGTCCTGATTTGACAGCAATGGAACCACTGCCACTACTGGGCACAACAGAGCATACAATGTGGGCATCCTGCATAGGTACAGCGTGACCACTTGTTCCTGGTCATGAATGGCCACAGAGTTGCAAGACAGGCACCTTTTTCTGGATCAGAGAGCAGGGAGTTCCTCTGGCTACCTCAAACCTCTGAGCAGCTAACGCTTGCTTTTTTTTTTTTTAAAAGTTCCCAGTAATACTTTAAGGAAGATCACTTACACTGAAGTCTGTCTTCTTTGCCAGACTATGGTATAAAACATAGAGAGAGAGAAGTTGGGTAGAAGGCACTTCAAAAGCTTCTTGCATCATGATCTCAAAAACCAACAATAAAGCATCTGGCAAAAAAGAAAAACACAAAATGAGATGACATTAATTGTCAGTAACATCATCAAACAAACGAGTATAAATGCTCTAACAGCAAAGCTTTAAACGGGAACCAATTTCAAAAAGTGGGGAATGGTAGAAAATAGGCAAAATTAAGGAAAAATGATCCCTTAGTTTTTTCCTTAGCTCTCTTCCAGCACTCAGCTTCTATCATATATGCTTGCTGTTGTGAAGTGCTGTTGAGTCAGGTCTAGCTCACAGCAAGCCTGTATAGGGTTTCCAAGGAGCTTCTGGTGAATTTGAGCCACTGACCTTATGGTTTACACCGTACCTTGTGGCCCAGTGCTTATCCTATAGCGCCACACCAGGACTCCTTCATACATGTTCTTATGGACTAAATCAAGTGTTCTTACACCAGTGCAGAGAGTCTGCTGCAACCCCCTCCTTTCCTTCGCCTTCCTTACTATGATAGAAAGCTAGGAGTCACTTTAATTTCATGGGATCAGAGACTTTGGAGAGTGAAAAGATCTCAGAGATAACATTTTTTTTTTTTTTAATGTTTTATTGTGAGTTATGTGATAATTTACATGGGAGAACATTAGTCTTACATTCATTCTTTCATATATCATTTCATTGCCATGGTTACAATCCCCTCCATGCATCATCAACCAACCAAAGAGTATACCCTGCAAGCCTGCCCCCGACACCCCTCCCCTGGGTCTTCAGCACACAGTCCCTCTCCCTCTCTGGATCTAAAGTCCCCAGCTGCTCCATCTCTCCACGTCATCATCAGAGATAACTTTTTTACAGGTAGGGAAACTAAAGCGAGGTAAATGATTTGTCTTCATAGCTCTCCCCAAGATAAGTCAACTCATTATACAATTTGACATTTTACATACCATACCAATGATGATTAAATAAAACAAAGGCTGTTTTTAGCAAACAGTGTTGTTATAAAAATAGTCAAGGAAATAACCACACTACTACAATGTTAAGGAGCCCTGGAGGCCCCGGCAGGCATATTGTAAAATGAAGTCTTTGACAATTTCAATCTTTTCTCCATTTATCATGAGGTTATTTGTTGGTCCAGTAGTGAGGATTTTCGTTTTCTTTACAATGGAGGTGCAACCTGTACCAAAGGCTGTGGTCTTTGATATTCATCAGTAAGTATTTTAAGTTCTTTTTGTTTTTAGCAAGCAAGGTTGCTAATGAGTCTTTCTCAGCTCCTGATGCCATGTTCTTCCTCATAGACTCCAGCTTCTCAGATTATTTGCTCAGCAAACAGACTGAATAAGTAGGGTGAAAAAATACAGCCCTGGCACATACCTTTCCTGATTGATTTTAAATCATTCAGTATCTCCTTGTTCTGTCCAAAGGACTGCCTCTTGATTGACATATAGTTTCGTCATGAGCACAATCAAGTGTTCTGGAATACCCATTCTTTACAATGTTATCCATAGCTTGCCTCGATCCACACAGTCAAAAGTCTTTACATAGTCAATAAAGCACAAGTAAACAAACCTCTTTCTGGTACTCTCTGCTTTCAGCTAAGATCCATCTGACATCAGATGTATCATGAAAAAATTGAGCGCAAACAATAATAACAACTGAGTGTAAGTTTCCTATCTGGCCAATTAGTACGATTAATCAACTGTGTACCTATTTATTTTTCTATGACACATCTATTTCTGCCATGTGTTGTTGTGGTTAAATGCTGTTGAGTCAGTTCTGACTCATAGCAACCCTGTATAAGGCTTTCCAAGGAGCAGCTGGTGGGTTTGAACTGCTGACCTTGTGGTTTGAAGTCCAGTGCTGATCCCACAGTGCCACACCAGGAGTCAAGGAAAGGCAACAAGATATAAAAGACAGAAAGCACCTCCAAGTTCCCACTTCCTTTGGGAAGCTGGAAACCCCATAATAAGTGGACCTGGCTTTGGTTTCTTACCTTTGTAATTTTCTTGCTTTATGAAATGATCCATCAGTATATTGAATGCAAAGTTATCTGGCAGAATTCCATACTGAATCTGTAATAAAATGAAGTTAAAAGGGAAAAATCTCCACGTTAATCCAGTGCATAATACATGCCTACATATTACTCAGGATAAAACTTGCCACCATTAGCTTTAAAACATTTCATTATCGTTTTCCCAGCATCTATGACAGTGAAACAGAAGCAGTGACTCGAGGTTTGATAACTGGAACTGCTGGTCAGGGTGAGAAGTTGTGAGTGGTGTCTGATATATAAGACAACTGATATGTGAAGAATGAAGCTCCATTAAGACCTCCCCAAACAAAAGACAGTCAGACAAACAAAGCAAGCACCTAGAGTGACTCCTTTTACGAGCTGTGAATATCATTGTCAAGAATGAAGTCTAGGGAGTATATACACTCGGCAATCTTCTCTAGTCCTGAGCCTGGGTTTGCATGACCTAAGAAAAATGCCAACAAAATAGTTGCTACTAACCAAGCTCCTAGGATGTTGTCTTCAGAAGCACTGAGATAGTTGAGAATGTAGATTTTGAAAATACCTGTTTAGAGTTTTCTAGGAGTGCTCTGAATCAGAATCTCTGGAAGACTTAGCGAGCTTCTCACGTGGTTTTCTTGCACAATCAATGCTGACTACTACATGATCTAGTTGAGGTTGTATTTTTGTTTTGTTGTAAATTCTTATTTCAGGGGGATTGGCAGCCATCTGCCATATTGCTTCATTCCTTCCCCATCCAACACCAGCAGCACATGAGGAACTTCTTCAAACTAGACCGATTCCCCTGGGAGATTCGGATACAGCCCTAACCCCTAGTTTTGAACCATTGCTAAGTTGAGTCAGTTACTAACAGACATGCATGAGAAACCTTGGTGTGCTGAAATGGAGGATGGGGGGTGGGGCAGCAGGGAAAGGATTTTCAAAAAGTCACTGTTCTAAAGACTATAGTCCAAATGGGCAGTATCTATGCTTCTCAAAGATGCCATCCAAATGAGTACCAATCCCTAAGGGTAGGGAACATGAAAATTATTTTAGAATGACAAAACACTGGAGCTGGAAAGCTGGTCAGTGATTCTCACTCCTGGAACCTTCCAGCTCTCAAGTGGCCTAGCTCTTTCTAGTGTTCCTTTAAAACACCGTGACCCCTCCAGTTGATTTCACGTCATGGTGAGCCCGTGTGTTTTAGAGTTGAACTGCCTTCCACAGTGTGTCTCTGGCTTTGGCCTTTTGAAAACAGTTTCACATGAAGATGGCTCAGGAGCAGAGACTCCAAGTGGACAGAGAGAAACTTTTCGCCAGAGCTGATGGCTTGAATCAGGACTTTTAACCTCCTAAACCGAGGAAATAAAGTTCTGTTATAGGAGCAATAGATACCTGGAGACATCTAAGGTGGATCTGAACTGCAAGGTCGGCAGTTCAAGCTCACCAGCCACTCCTAAGAAACACTGTACAGGGTCACTATGAGTTGGAACCAACTCGATGGCACTTAACAACAAGGCTTGGAAAAGCAGCATTTACAAGAATTTTTACTTTTAATTTGTTGATTAATGGATATCCAGTCCCCTTCCTCAAAAGAAAAGTTGGGGTTCCAAAAAGCATATCTGGGAGCAGATGATTTAAAAAAAAATCTGTCCTTCGCTATGCTGTTATTTTTTGCTGTACCACCAAAGGCACATCACACCACATAAACTCAGGAAAGCACTCACCTTATTTATAATGGTATACAAAGCTTTGTCTTGTGCATTATACTTTATACACTGTCGAATCCAAGTGTGAATAGTCCAGTCTCTCAGGTACCAGCAGTTGGGGCTGTGTCTAAATCTAAATGAAGGTAAGAAGAAAGAAGACTGCTGGTAACTCTTAAATGTCAATGCCAAGCAGGCCCTTCTCCCAGGTTGGTACAGATGTGCATCAAGTTGACCAACAGCCAGAGAAGCCAAAAGTCATTAAAACCTAGGGATGAAACTTGCTAACTGTAAAGGCTGAAATGGGAAAGAAAAGGCAAAATCATGATAAATGACAAATAAAAATATCATACAAACTTTATTCCTTATCAACAACCCCTTGCTTTGAACTCTTGCTTTAATATGAGATTTATAAAAAATTATGTGGGGGAACCATGCGGCTGATGGCTATATAAAATGAAGCTGAAGCGGATATTCTTAAAGTGTAAAATAAAGCAGATGAAATAAAATGGAAAAACCTATGGTAATAGTACCCCTGGAGGCAAATTAGCTTTGATTCTTTATATTTCAATATTTCTTATGGTGCTTAGAAGGAAATGAGCCACGCCTCATTGTATCAAAGAAAGCAAACAAACAAACAAGAAAAGGGGCCACAGAGAAGAGTTGAGCACACAGGCTGGAAAAATCTGTTTTGGTCCTTTTTCCTTCTACGTCTATTTCTCATTCTTTCTCTCTCCTTCCCCTTCCTAGAGCTCCCCAGGTCTTGAAAGTCAGCAGTTCAGATGGAAGTATATCAATAACAACCTCACAAACTCAAGAGCTGAAAGAGGACTTTGGGGAGACTTTGCAGATCCTCTGCTTTGCTATCTGTTTTGACTGGGACATATGTGGTCTCATGTCGGCTGAAGTCCTCGGGTTTGCCTTAACCATTTGAGAAGCAAGTCAATTACTGGGTTCCATTAAAATCAAAACAACTTGAAAAAAAACTGAGGAAGGAAAACAACAACAACAACAACAACAACAAAACAGTTGGAGCTTAAGAAGGAAAAAAAAACAAAAACCCACAAACATTTGCTTATTATTCAATCTGCCACCTGCTATTGGGATAGTTTCCTGCTGAACAAGTTCTCTGCCAAAGTGAAAGCCAAGTAAAGGAGAGGAAGTGAGAAGCAGGATTCAGTTCAGGCTATTTATTAATGCTCTGGTGAGAGATTTGGCAAAAATAAGATACAATTATTTAGCTCTCTTCATTCTTTCAAGTATCTTAGGCTTGGCAAAAAAAATCTTCCTTGCTCAATTTTTCTCTGCAGAATTCACCCTTTTATAAGCAGAAAGATAGGAAGGCGTCAAATTATACATTCAGGATGTGTGAGTTGGCCAGAGACAGGTGCCCTCGATACTACAACTAATGAGTTATTCTACACCAAAAAGAAACAAAATATACCTTCTAGTATCTCCTGTTTTTCCTCCTGTTTTCAAATCAATAGTTGAACTATTTGAGTTGTTACTCTAAAAATCAGTTTTAAGGCCAATTAAGCCAGCTTTATCTTCTTAAAGAAAAAAGTCAAAAAAAAAAAAAAAAGGGAAACGGTAGTGCTACTTCCTCATTGGTCTGTATGCTCCTTGGTAAATAATGTCTGGACTGGCATAATCTTGGCCTACGTTTTCATTTACAAGTGGTCGGTAAATAAGAAAGCTTTAAGCAACACATTTATTAAGTGACATCAGGCACTGATCATTTTATTAACATCTGGGTTAATGCACCAGACTACAAAGCTGTTTGAACTGCAAGGTCGGAGGTTCAAGCTCACCAGCTGCTCCTTGGAAACCCTATACAGGGTCGCTAAGGGTCAGAACTGACTCAACGGCATTTAACAACAACAACATGGTATATGTGAAGAATCTCTGGGGCATGTTTGTACTTTCAACACAAAGCATGTTGTTGTCATTAAGTGCCATAGAGTCAATTCCAACTCATAGTTACACTGTATAGGGTTTCTGAGGAGTGACTGGTGGGTTCAAACTGCCAACCTTGTGGTTAGCAGTCCAGTGCTTATCCTATAGCACCACACATACAGTTGAACAGCAATACAGGTAAGATAAGATGAATGTTAAAGATATAAAGAGACTGCTGGATGTTCGAGGTTTCCCTCATTGTAGTGGTCATTAGGCTTAGTCCATTTCTCCAAACCAAACAAAAAGCAACAAGGATGCTAGCAAACAGAAAAACTCTATGATCATAGTAGCTCAGAATACCAACTGAGAGGGATGAAGTCTTCACATCAAGTACCAATGCTATCCCCTCTGTACACAGGGCAGATAGGGACATTGGCTACCTAAAATGAGGGGCGATAAACGCACGAAGTGACTGGCTTACAAGGTTTCAAGAGGGAGGTTAGTTCAAGAGTGTGTGGGAAAAGATAGAGTCCCCACTGAATAGTTTTTTTCTTGTCTAGGTGAGTCTGGTAGAGATGGAGATAAGATTCTTATGATTCAATAGTAAGTAATTGTTATCACGACTAATTGCAACTGTCACAATTGTAAAGGTAGAAGTTTTGTAACAAAAACGGGGGAGTAGTTAATCTTACAATCCAGAAACAGAGGATCCTAGAACCATGAAGGGAGAAGAGCACAAGTGGAATATGGAACCTTATCCAGAGAAGCAGTGATACCAGAGATGGAGGAGGGGTGCGGACATGGAGAGATAGAGCAGCTGAGGACTCTAGATTCATGGAAAGAGAGGGACTGAGAGCTGGTGGCCAGGAGGCAGACTTGCAGAATGTGCTCTTTGGTGGTTTAAATTATTATATATGCCTGAATGTTTTTTTTTTTGTTGTTGTTGTTGTTGTTTTTAAAGAGCTAAAATGAATAGAGAGAAATACTGTCAACTGTTGGTACATATGTTGTTGTTGTTGCTAAGTACCATGGAGTCGGTTCCGATTCATAGTGACCCTGCACAGGGTTTCCGAGGCTGTAAATCTTTACGGGAGCAGAGGTACATAGAGGGGATTATATTCATTGTAATGAAACAAAGTATATGATTTGTTGAATGCAAACCTGATGATCTGCTCTGTAAACTTTCACTCAACTCACAATAAAAAGTTAAAAACAACCCCCCCATGATCATTTCAAAATTAACACTCACCTTAAGTACCATCCTCTGTTAATGTACATTAACACTGTAACTTCTCTTTCTGATGAATATTAAAATAAGAGCACCATGACTGTATCCTACCAAATATCCTTTCTTTTTTAAATTCATGATCAGGAGACCATTTTCAGGCTTTGAACAAGAATTAAAATGAATGATGCAGAGAACCTAACTGTAGACCTTCAAAGCTCAAAGTAAAGTTTGTTTAAAGTCATTTGCTAACATTTTGAGTCTAACTTCAACTCATGGAAGGGCAGAAAGTCTTCCTTTCTCACTCTATGTCTTTGGAGCTGAAAGGAAAAGTGACTCAAGACTTTAGTCAACTAATACAATCATTCCCACTTGGCAGCCCTTGGAGAGACGGTCAACAGACTCATCCGGCTTTCTGTTTGTTTGCTTTTTGGATGGATAATGTACTTTATTGATGGTACATGACAAGACTGGGCTCTCTAACCCTTGCCCTTCTCCAAGGGGTCTGGATGGAAACTGAGGATGGGAGCTTCTCAGTGTGTAGTCGGGGTAGGGTTGGGGTAAGGACTCCCAGTAGCTAAGGGCCTCTCTCTTCCTCTAATACTGTTGCTGGGGCTGGTGGCCCAGGGGGCTCTTATTCCTTGGAGGCCATGTGGACCACAAGGTCCACCACCCTGTTGCTGTAGCCAAATTAATTGTCATCCCAGGAAATGAGCTTGATAAAGTGGTTGTTGAGGGCAATGCCAGCCCCAGCATCAAAGGTGGAAGAGTGGGTGTTACTGTTAAAGTCCAGGAGACGACCTGGTCTTCAGTATAGCCCAGGATACCTTTTAGGGGTCCGTCTGATGCCTGCTTCACCTTCTTGATGTCATTGTATTTGACAGCTTTCTCCAGGTCAGGTCCACGACAGATATGTTGGGCATGAGGACACGGAAGGCCATGCCAGTGAGTTTCCCATTCAGTTCAGGGATGACCTTGCCCACAGCCTTGGCTGCACGGGTAGATGCAGGGATGATGCTCTGGGCAGCCCCATGGCCATCACGCCACAGATTCCCAGAGGGGCCATCCACAGTCTTCTGGGTGGCAGTGATGGCATGGACTGTGGTCATGAGTCCCTCCACGATGCCAAAATTGTCATGGATGACCTTGGTCGGGGGGGCAAACGGTGGTGCAGGAGGCATTGCTGACAATCTTGAGGGAGGTGTCATACTTCTCGTGATTCACGCCCATCACAAATATGGGAGCATCAGCAGAGGGGGCAGAGATGATTACCCCCTTGGCACCATCCTTCAGGTGAGCCCCACCCTTCTCAAAGGTTGTGAAGACACCAGTGGACTCTACAACATATTCAGCACCAGCATCACCCCACTTGATGTTGGCGGGATCTCGCTCCTAGAAGATAGAGATGGGCTTCCCATTGATGATAAGCTTCCCGTTCTCAGCCTTGACAGTGCCACTGAACTTGTCATGGATGGAATCATACTGGAACATGTAGACCATGTAGTTGAAGTCAATGAAGGGGTTGTTGATGGCAACAGTCTCCACTTTGCCAGAGCTAACAGCAGCCCTGGTGACCAGGCACCCGATACGGCCAAATCCGTTGACTCCGAGACCTTCACCATCCTGTCTCAGGGATGCGGCTGGTACTGCAAGAGAAGTTGCGGCTGCCGGTCGAGTGGAAGGAGCAGAGAGCCCGAGCTTTTAATAAATCTCCTTCCTCACCGGCTCTTGAACAGGGCTACCTGGTATATGATCTCTGTTCTCTAGTCAGACTACACATTGCAGATACACAACTAGGTCTAGGGATTTTCAACTGAGAGACCACATTAAATCAATTTAGGAATAACAGTGTTACAACGTTAGCACTCAATTTATGTGAGTGGTGGTGGTGGTGGTTATGTGCCGGGGAGTCAATTCCAACTCATAGCGACCCTGTATAGGGTTGAGGCTGTAAATCTTTACAGAAGCAGAAAGTCTCATCTTTCTCCTGTGGAACAGCTGGTAGTTTTGAACTG